CGGTGGAACGAACAGGATAATCTTTGGTGTCATGAGTTGGACGTGGGTCACAAAGTTCACCAGCAAACTCAGCAAACAACTCAAGATTGACTTGACACCCCCCGTATGCGAACCATCCGAGCTTTTCCGATCCGTCCGGATTCTTGGTCCTGAGGAAAGCCAACCAAGCAGCATTCCACACTGCCTTTCCGCCAATGGCATCGGCGTTGGGTTTGATGTCCCTCTCAAGTTTCTCAACGGGAAATGAGTCTGGTTGATTCACCTTCGCGTCTTGATCCTCAAGAGGTGGCAGTTCGGGTTGATCAATAAGTTCAACTCTCCCCTCACTCCTGATTATTTTGTCTTTCTGCATTGGAAATTCGATGGCTTTCGGCACACTAATCTGACTGACTCTGAGAATCGGGATCTTCTCGTCGTGACTAGCTTTCAAGACGTTTGGGAGTGACATTACTGCAAACTCGTCCCGAAACAAGCAGCCTGGGTGCAAAATATAGCCGATGAAAATGCCCGGTGCAGAAGTTGGGTCAAACCTCAAGTTGTCCTTCATTCTCTTTCTCGGCCCGGTCCAGTAGTCGATCTTGCAACCGAACGGGACAATAGGACCTTGGAATCTCTCCCCAAAACGGAGTTCCCATGGTGACTTGTCTTCATCATCAAATTGGGCAATGTTATTGCTCACACACCAGTGCCTAGCGGCATGGGGCCAGTATTGGTGATGCAGTCCAGACTGCAATAAACTTACCCTGGTACCCTCAACGATCGATCGAATCGTTCGCTCAGCAACGGCATTGCTCTGGGATATAAAATCCTTCGAAGTGACATGTCACCATTGGAGAGTGCGTGCAGCACTGATAAGTTCTGGGGCATTGTCAGAGTAAAAGATCTTCACAATTGCTTCGTCAAGGACAAAATGTTTGAAGGAGTTGATGGTCGATTCCGCATCTTTCCGTGCAGAGGGGTAAACGTACGTGAACCCCGAATACACATCTTTCAGTACAAGACCGATACCTTCGTCCTCGTCACCAGCTTCCTCACCTTTGGCGGTGATAAGGAAGTCCCCAGTAACATGATCACCAAAAGTTTCAGCCTCAATCTGACGGGAGCCGCCCCTTGCCCTTGAGGGATATTTGATCATCTTCGCCTTACGGCAAACATCGCAAAACTCATTCTTGGGTATATGAGTCATCAGATGGGTGATTGAGTTCGCTTCCCTCTTTAGCAAGGCTTCCCCCCGTCCACGTTCTGCCACCAAGGGTCCTGGTACCTGATCGTCCAGGGCATCATCACTAGGGTTAGAATCATCCGTTGGCGGCTCGACCTTCCGGTCAGCGGCACTGGGCGGCTCAGCCTTCCGGCTAGCTTCTTCTTTGTCTCCCCTACTCACATCATCATCCCCCACCGCATCATCTGAGCCCTTTGCGACTTCAGCAGGTAGGGCCAGCGGAGTTGGAGTAGACGAGGATGTAGAAGGCGGACATTCCGATGAAGAAGAAGCTCCGGCACGAATCCCAGCGTCAATGACCGGACGTGAACGCAACTTGCAAGGCATGGCTTTCTTGATCTTGGATGGGACATAAGGCACGTAGTCTCGTACAGTTAATTTAATTCGAACACCATCGGGTTTTTGAAAATATGGTTCCTTGCCGGCTCTCCAAACAAAGTCATAACCTTCGTCCATACACTTGACCCCGACGGACATGACAGGTGGGGTAGACTCGAGCAAATATGGTGTAAAATTGCACCCTAATGTCTCGTTTCTAACCTTTCCCTGCAGGTATGACGAACTCTCTCCATTGGCAGTGATGATGGAGATCGGTTGGTTGGAGAAAAACTGAAATCGGTCCGGAATGTCGTACTTGGTTGCAAGGTCCTGTGCGCTTCCGGTATCTGCAATCCAGTCCTCACCTGAAAGGAGATAGTGCTCCACCTGTTGCTCAGAGGCCGCAGGTGTGGCATATAGTGTTTTCGGGATGCAGTGATCACAACCTATTGTGGACTTGCACATGTAACGACACTTGGCATCGAAACCTTGCAACTCATTTTGCACTGCTCCGGCAAGCATTTTGGCCGACAGGAGTGAATCTTCGATGGCCGATGGGTTTGGACTCATAGCGAATTCGATGGGATAGAACTTTGATGGACTCTTCCTCTCCACCTCATATGGGAAAAGACTTCCGGGTGTGTGATACTCGGTGATTGTCGGTTTAGACTCGAATTTCACCCTTATCTTGGCTGGACAAGCGATGCTCGGCCAACCGTTCCCGGTGGCAAGTCCTTCAACGGACGATGCAAGCATGGACGCAACCAGACAAACTGCGGCAGGCGTAACTCTGGGGGATGAACGGTTTGAACCACCGGAACCCTTGGAACCCTTCGATTTCCGAGAACCATCGGACCCGGATCGGCGACCGCTCTTGTCCCTCTTGCCCCTCTTGTCCTTCTTCCGCTTGTCCTTCTTATCGCTTCCGCGGGAACTGCGGGATCCTGATCTGGCAGGAGTGGCCTTGCGGGGCTTCTGTTGCCTGCATGGGAGAATTCACAATCATTTCCCCGTTTGCAACGTCCGGCCTTCCAGTACTTACATGTGATCTTGGACTTGTCTTTGCCCTCACGGCTGGTGGAGCGACCTCTACTTGGTTTTCGAGTCTTCTTTGGAGGAGTCTCGTGCTTGTACGTGCAATTCTCTTTGGTGCAACTGCCCTTGTTCCATGCGACACAGTAACCCTTTGGGATGAATGGAGTCTTCTTCCGATCGTCGTCGACTGCTGGAGTGGACGGTTTCGGACCTCCAAGGCTGTTGTGGATCCGGTCACGGTTCGACTCAAGCCTTTCCCTCCGGAGATATCTCGGTACAGCATCAACAAGGTATTTGTAGGAATGATTATCAGTTCCTTCTTCAGCACGGTTGTAGATTTCGATATCATGTTGTATGGCCCGTACGTTCTTGACTTGTTCGTAGAACAGGGTTCCAACACTGATGGATCCGGCGGGTGTGTGATGCCGGCATTCACAGTATCCCAGTTCGAAATGAAGGTTCTCAGGTTCTCACCCTTGAGCTTCACAGCGAACAAATCTTTCAATGAGTACGTGGCTCCATGCTTGATATTTGTGCTGAAAAAAATCATCCATATCAAAAGAACTTGACGTCCTCTCACAGGGCGGTCGGCGGCTGATTCTTTCTCTTTGAAGGTATTGACCTTTCTAGCAAACTCACCTGAACAGATGTTGGACAGTGCTGACAACAATTTTGCATCAAGGGTTGTGAAGCTTTGTCAGGCGTCTTCGATGCGGCACGAACGGCATCCCGGACTTTGATCTTCCAGTCTCTGTAGCTCTCGGGGTATGGAAATGGAGGAACCTTAATATGGTCTGCTTCCTTGGCATTATTCTCGGAGCTTTTCTTTTTCCCCTTGAGGAGTTGCTTGAGGGCATTCAACAAATCACGGCCTGAGAGATTTCCATCATCGTGATCATCGTCATCGTCGTCGTCATCATCCCCGTCCCCGTCGTCATCGTCCCCAGGCTCGTCAGGCGGGCCTCCTCCACCAACATTTGCTTTCTTCGGATTCGGCCGAAGGTTCCCCTTGGCTTCATCTCCTTTTGGAGGACCGTTACCACCTTCTGGCTGAGGTGGTGGGGGATCACCTCCGGGAGCTCCATTCGGAGCCTTACCGGTCTGATCACTGGTTCCCAGTGGCAGTGGTGGAATCATACCTTCGCCTGACCTCATGGAGTTCAATGGTGAACCAAAAAGGGATTCCTCAGTAGGTTCATTCTTCGGAATCGTAGCGCCCTTTGGTTCTGGTTTGACGGTTTGCCTAAGCGTAGTCGGATTGGGGATGGACGGAGAGTAGTCTCGGGTCTGAAGTTCATCGTTGCCCCCTGCAGGAATCATTGGGAAACCCCTTGGACCCAAAACGGCTGGACCTTCCGGTGCGCGAACGGCGGACCAAGAACTGAACAGATCGTTCTGGAATCTGGCATCTCGAAGAGCACTCAGTTGGCTTTGGAGATCAGTTTGTTTCTTCATGGATTGTCTCAACTCCAATTGAAGACTTTCTGTTTGCCGATTCTGGCGCTCAACATGATTATTCAATGAATCGATGGTTGCCATGCACTTCTCAATGGCATGATCACTACGAATACGTGCATCTAACATCTGACCTTCATGGTGTTGTTTCATAGACCTCAACTCGGCCGCGGAAGCCTCGGCGTAAGCCTCGTAACCTCTCTGGGCAGCTTCGACAAAAGCGGTTGCTTCCTGTTTGACGACCGTGTTTTCATGAAACATTTGCTCAGCTTCGTTCATGAACCTTAACCCCTGCATACGCATCTCGTCACGCTGGGCGCTCACAATATTGAGCTGTTCACCTTGGATGTCCATGGCATGCCGGTGTCTTTCTTCGGCAACAGCCTCGATCAATCTTGCATCAGTTGACGGGGCTTGGTGAACATGCAAGTGCTGATTCAATACATTTGTATTACTTGTGTGAATCGGCACAGCGTTCCCGCTGGCGCTCACGAAGGGAGGGTCATACCGGGCAATGTCAGGCCCAAGAGGCGTGTCCAAGAACCCAAACCCTTCCGGCACGAGCGCCGTGGAACTTGCAACCTCAGGCGTTGCATCGCGTGCGGACATATTGTCCGGGTCCGACGCTAAGTCGATAATCGCCGGATATCCCTGTCCTGCCATGGCGAGGAACACGCGGCACGAGTGAGAGGACTTGGTGAGACCTACGGCTGATAACCTATTTCAAATAGGAAACAGCCAGTAAAATACACCTTTTTCTTGAGCCAAACAATACGCGTATAGAGGACATGACTATGTACAAGCAGTGAAAAATAGTTCCAAATGGTCTAGACTAGGTCGACTAGGTGACCCAAAACGAAGTTCCTTCACTCAGTGGGCCCTCAGTTGAACTGCTTCTAAGCTCGAGCGACCCATCTCCCATCTTCCTCCAGTTTCGCGCTAGTCAAACCGACTTCCAGGTCCCAGTGGCGCCAGTCCTCCTTGTTCGTCGACGATCCCACCCAGGCGGTGCCCGGTGAATGCTGCCGCGCCAAGGCGGCGCCCGCACCTGGCGAGAAGAGCCGCCACAAACCCCAAAGCAGCAGAGGTGGGTCAGAACCCGGTCACGTTTGACTATCCTAGTTGGGTACCCGTTCGGTGTTCCGGGTCCGGTCCCGGTCACTTCACCTCTCGGAACGCCGACTGACGGACTGCCGATCAACTGAGGGTGGAAAAGGGATCGGATTCATGTATACCCTGTGAGTCGTCTAGACTATACAAAGAATGGTCTTTCTGGGATCTGAAAGGGAATTTCCTTTACTTCACTGAGGGAAAGTGTAGTCTTTGGACTTCCAGGGTATAGGTAAACATTATAACATTCATTAACATTCCATACATGGGGCCTGTGGGCATGGTGTCTACGGTGGACTTCTGGACTGCCAGATCGCCAGGACGCTCTGCCCGATGGTCTTGCCGACTCACGCTCACGACGAAAGATGCGGAACTAGCTATCGTCTTGAAAGCAACAGAACAAGTATGAACAAGTGGACTCACTGAGCTAAACTGAAATCCGCTGTGCTTCCTTTATCAGTGCCTCTGCTCTTCTACCACGGCCCCGGCCCGTCCAACCACAGTCTTACAAGTGCTGCAGTGGTGTATCGGTGCCGGAACAACCGCGCGCCGTGGGAGTCTTGGCACGCAACATCGGACCTGTGGGTGAAAAATCATCTCAAGAAAAGGTCGAACATAAACATATCTGATGTCCCACCCCTGACTCCTATCAGTTCAACATGCAAAAGAACATGCTACATGAAAATAAGAACACACTGTCCTCACAATCCAATCCTTGGCTGTTTGGAATCAACAGTCACAGTCACCCCTCACAGAACAAAGATCACCAAAGCAACTCTTTCAGGTATCCGAAGATTCCTACCAGCCCGTCTTGGAATGAACATGGCCCAGTTACCGACCGATTACCTCCCGACACCACCAGTCCTGGAGCGACCACCCCCCCGGATCGCCTTCAAGGTGTGGCACACCGGGTGGTAGTAAAAACTCATCGTGCAAGTCCAACTCTTCCGCCAAATCTGATAAGTCCTGCATCTGCACGTGGGGGTTTCGGGGTGTCGAAAAGAGCGACTGAGTCAGCTGAGTCGGGAGGTCCATTCACCACCCCGGAGACCGGGGGCCCTGGTTTGTGTTGATTTTTTGGGGCTCCGAGTGTCAGGCGTTGGCTGAAGAATTCGGGGCCAAACAGCCAAAGACTTCCAATTCTCAACGTTTGGGAGGACCCTGGGCCCCTTTCAGCCGACGAAATCCCGAGGAAATCCCGCTGCTACAGGCATAGATTTTGTATACCAGCATGTCCCCATTGGCCGTTTTGCACAGGTTGCTCGGCTCCTTTTGGGCTTTGGTGCCAACAAGGACTTGTGAAGAGTTGTCAGCAGGATTCAACGGGTCACCGTTGAAAGAAATCCACAAGTAAAACCCCGCACCCTAAGAAACATAACTTACTTATCTATATATGGATGGTGATGTTTAAAGGGGAAGCATGATCAGGTTGAGTAGTAAAAGCTTTAGGAGGCTCACAAAGAAAGACCTAATAAGACTATATACCCGAGAAGACGGAACCACACCAACAGCCAGCCCGCTTCGCTGCCTGTTCATGGCCGCGTTATATAAGGTTTCCTGCAATATAGAGAAGCCTTTGTGTTGCAAATTTGTTGTTGAGTCCCGTTGGTTCCTTCTTAAGGATGGGATGAAACAGGCTTCACATCAACCCAATACAAAGATCCATTGTTCCAGCAAGGCTGTGCCGTTTCTGTTCGAGATCCCCACCATCCTTTCTCAACAAAGCATAATTCTGAGAGGAAAAAGGGCCAAAGACCACCAACCACTCAGAGGGTCCCAGGTCGTACGTGCGACCGCTACATGTCCAAACGTGCGACCTGTGTATGATGTGCTTCGAAGACAAAGAACCGTTTGCTTCTCATGGCGGGCAAATGTCCTCCCTAACCCTCTACCAAAATCCGAGACCCGATGTTTTCCCGCACTGGACCAAATGGAAGCCATCATGTATCACCCATGGAAGCCATCCCGCCCCCAGAACATCTAGCTATATGATGCTATATGAACAGGCGACGGGCCCATCCCAATTAAATATTCGGCGACTGGAAGCTTTGAACACGATTCAGATCTGTTGGGATGGCCTGAAGGGTAAGGGTGGTGAGCAATCCCACACAATTTGAGCCATCTCAGCCATCATCTTCATTGAAATCCTCCAAGTTTTTTGAGTGAACCTTGTGCTATACACATGCACATATATATATATATATATCAAAATGTCCTACTAATTCTAGCATCTTCCAACTATGCCAACTTGTTTTGGTTGGCATTTTCTGAATGAAAAAGGCCAACATCTTGGACTGTTTCTGAGAAAAACATTAATTTTTGCTCTATATTGCTCTATATAGTGATCCCATGTGATCCCCCAATATATAGTGGCCCGGTGTCCAATACATTTTCCGTGGGGATCTATACTATGTTCTATCTACCAGTGGGGGGTTCTGTAAACACTAGACCTGAAAAAACCAGAGTTCTGCCAGGTTCCCAGCCTCCCACGGTCACGAGCACTGTCCTTGGAAGGGGCATTGGAGTTGGACCAGCCTGGTGATTGTGCGACCACTGCCTGGAGCGAGGTGTCATCCAGCGGTCCGCGGCGTGGGGGGGTGGAAATCGGTGTCACTCGTCGGTGTTCGTTTGTGGCTGTTTATTAAGTTCTTCGCTTCCTAGGGCTCCAACTAGATCCGCGGAAGGTGGTCAGAACCCCAAAGCTACCCCGAAACCACCTTCTCAGGCGATAGTTGGAGCCCTATAGGGCTTCTTCCTTGCACTAAGTCTCAAAGGCTTCGTGAAGAGCTGTTCTTTACATTCCCGATTCCCAAGGGATCCGCTACCGTTCTTGCAGGAGGGCCATTGTCAAAGACATCAGAAACCACAATTGCCCAAGGAAGTGTGGGTCAGCCGGCCAATGCCGCCGGAGAAAGTAGTGGATGACACCGTGACACCTTGACACCTGGAACAGCATTGAGAGTGAAACTTACGTGAAATTGTTTTCTATTGAAAAACAAACCCAGAAATGAAAGCAAGAACGTCATCCTAATTCCAAAAGCAACACACACTACCATCTTTCTGCATGCGATCCATTCTGTCTCCCCAACAAATATATATATATATATATCTGGCGCCGCCACGGGCCATCTGTCTTTTGGAGACCAACACACACACACACCAAAAACACACACATACACTAGTGACCCCACACTGAGACGAGCTGCTCCCTCCGTGTTCATCCTAACAGACCGGCTCCCGCACAACGGCGCCGAACGGATCACTGGCGCAGCTCCCGGACCTGTCCCTTCAGCAGCTCCTTCAACTTGGCTTCCTGCGTTCGGAACCTCGGCTCGGACGGTGTTTCGCGGCACGGGTTCGGAGCCTCGCCAGTGGAAAGGGGCGATCGGAGTAGCTCCAATAAGCGAAGCGCTTCCAGGGCAGCTTCCCAGTTTGGGTGCAGCCCTACAGGAAAGCTTGAAAGGTTCAACAACATATCACATGCCATTCTCTTCTGTTCATTTAGTTCGCGAAGAAGCAGAACAGCACGCATTGGATGGACCAAGTGCATCAAACATCCTGCGCATGAGATTGCACAGGTGACGGCTCCTATTTACGGTCGCTTGACCTCTCTTGGTTTCCCCCATCCCCAGGTGTGACCTGATCCACATCTGCACCTCCAGTTGAGGCCACCCTTCAAACCTCCATCCAAGATCGATGGCAAGCAGCTCCTGTCGCAAATCCTCCCGGAAGGACACCCGGAGCTGCCGCAGTTCCTGGAAAGGCCAGCAGGTCAGACATCATGGGAACAACTATGAACACATGATGTACCCTCCTGGAACATGGCCCCAAAAGGAAGACGGTGCCATCCACGAACAGTGGAGGCTGTATTCCACTTCATGGTTCTCAGGGAGGGTCCAAGTCAATCCGAATCTCTGGGCAAATCAACTCCACCTGCCTGGTTCTTCAGTACGTGACCGTACTTGATCACCTGCTTGCTTCGGTCACGAACCAGCCGGAACCCGGACGGGACGGGACGGTTAGGGTCACGAGTCAAGGAACCTTCAAGGAACCGGCCACGTACTGGTCCGAAGCTGGTGCCGTTTTCGGGTCACGTGGCGCCCGGGGTTCGACGGGCCGTTCGTGTCCTCGTTCGAGGTGTTCGGCCCCTGATTTCGTCCAGAGGTCCGACCGTTCACATGCCAGCACTTCCATGCCCCAGGGATCCGTTTTCGTACCGAACCGACCCGGTTTGGTACGACTGGACCCTCAAAAGCCACATAAGAGTGTCGAACACATCACCGTACCTGAGAAGGTACGACTGGATCCCTAGACCATGGAGTTAGGTGCCGGAGTTGGAGGAAGTCGGGATGCTCATGTCACATCCACTCACTTTGGAAGGGACGAACGAAACCATTCCGACATGGAACTGCTGGTGGTTGACCAGAGAGAAAGATGGCATTGACCAGAGAGAAAGAAACGGGCTGTTTGTAGGTCCCAAAGGGACCCAGTGGCTTGGGAGGGTGCATGAGGGTTTACAGGTAGTTAGTTGGAGCTAACAATTTCAAGCAACCCTTCGAGGTTGGATGCTTGCACCGTCCTCCTTCAGCTCCTCCATTTCCATCATCGCAAGCCGCGCCGACGGGGGGCGGAGTAGCAGCGGGGGTGCGCCAATGGAGGTTGCCAGGTGGTTGGCAATTGATCTTCACTAAGGCAGCCTGGACTCTTAGTTTTGGGTTCGCTGAAGGGACCGTCCTGCACGTGCCGAACTTTCGCAGAAAAACGTGGGGCTGGGACTGGGATGTATTCCATCAAACGTTTGAATGACCCCAGAAGACCCTCCTGATCATGAATAATTGATGAATAGTGTTCATGGCAAAATTCCGTGCCACGCCAAGAGCCTTGGGCGAAGGGAAGGTCTGAAAGTGTTGAGGATTTGGGAAATCCCATGAGACCACGATTCATCCAAATAGTACTGATGAAGGTTCAAGTATTCTAGAACCTTATCACTATAGTTAGATAATATAATGCAAGGGACCTGTGGAAGGTCTTGACCTTTGACATCTTAGTAGCATGCATTCACACCCAGGCGCTTTAGCACCGTACAGTCGGTGCTTGGAAGCACGGTGTTCCACGGAACGGCGGGCAGGTTGGTGCGGTCAGCGATGTTGGAAGCGCGGACAGAGCTGGGTGGAGCTGATCCATGAGATGGATCCAAGCAATTTTGATCCCAGACGCTCCATGGGACTGCCATATATGCCTACATTGACCCCTCAAACCACCCCAATGTAGGCATATATCACACATGGAGCGTCTGGGGATGGATTCATTCTTAGTCCGCCATTGACCACAAAGGCCCCACGGCAACTACCATGGGCACCACGCATTCTTAATGGTTTGCAGCCAATGGGGTGCTCTCGGACAATCACAATGTCCTATATATATATATACATATTCACATGGCAATAAGAAAGGTCTACAGTACCTTTCAGGCTGGTTGGTGGTTTCAACTCAGTTGCATGTAACATATGAGAACCAGTGGGTGAAAAGTCATCCCAAGCACCAGGTTGAACATACAAGGAAGAACCCACGGGGGCATTAAACCCTCGTCCATGAGTATTCCAATGATTCTTTCGGGGAGTGTACCAACAACATGGTAGCCGTTGAATGGAAGACAGTGCTGTCTTGCATAGAGCTCGGGCTTGCTTAGTGCTATCAAGACCGCATCGACCGCTTCACGGCTGTAGCCAATGTGAGAATGTGACCAAAGAATGTGGAACTCCATCAACTGAAGACAGCATCAGCTGAATACTGAGATTCTTGTCTGAGAGAAGGTTGAGGAGACACCTAAGAGAGAGGGTGGACGTCCCTTCACCAGTAGTCCCTTGCACGAGGCATTGGGTGGGAGATCATCAAGGTCAACACCCTCTTGCCGGGAAGGCACCCCAGCGTCCGGCAGCGTGAATTCTCGTCCAATCCACGGACTCCTTGATCTAATGAACACCACAGTGACCTCCATACCATCACCTTGAGGTACTGGCATGTGCATGTAAGTCAACATAAACATGAACATGTTGACTCTTCGCAGCCTCGGCTTAGAGCCACCTCAGCCGCTGCTCCCCACCAGCCGCTCCGCTCCCCCTTCTTGGCGTAGACAGGCCTTCTCGAAAGGTGCTGCTAAGCGCTGGCAGCAGCGGCCTGCAACTGCCCGTCCCAGCGAAGGTGAACTGAACCAAGCGGGTTCATGGTCTCTCGGACGAAGGGAGGAAGCTAAAGACATTGGTCTTCTAAAGGATGATCTTCCACGGTTCTATCCCCAAAAGTTGAAGATGTTCAACATCAACTGGGCAAATTCGCATGTAAAAAATGAATGCGACGCATCCAACAAGAATCATGGGGAAGCATGCAGCCATTGCTCCAATCTAGGGCACCATGTAAGCCTCACTGGGGAAACAATCAGGCTAAGCCGTGCAGGTGCCAGGATCAAACCTTTTGACAGCCAAACGACAAAGAGCCATGTTGTCCACCTGGTTCTTCAAAGTGACCGAACTTGATAACCTAGTTTGAGATCACGAACGAGCCTCCTAAGGGTCACTTAGGAACCTTCAAAAGGTCACGTACTGAAGAAGCTGGCATGTGGGCGTTTCTTGCCGCGTTCTGTCTTCTGTTTGGCATCACATCCCGTTCGTCATCACGAGACTTCCGACGAACCCAGGTGGCCCCCGGCGGGGTCGGCTGCAGGATGGCTCGACAGATCGGCCCATTTTGCTGCGCACCGTGCGGTCCATTTTGTTCGATCGATCTTCTGTGAAGAAGACCAATCTGACAAAGAAAGCTTTGTCTCTTAGAGTGAGCACCGCGGGTTTCTTGATGAAAGAAGTCCACCGCCTCCTTGATCTAGAGGGAAAGGTCATACTTTTGCTGGAATTCACATGGAAGTGGATGGCACCCGCTGTGTAGAGGAAAATGGGCTTCCCAGGGGCCATGTTCCACTTCAATGTCAGTTCCAGGCAGTGTGTATGCAGTATTTTGGTCCAGCTAAGCTTTCATCAGGATCACCCTTGCTTCATGTGAAGGCTACGGCTGCAGCGCTGTCAGCTGTCAGGGACTCGAAGTCTCAGGGAAAGGCCAGCCTCTCCGGTGAAAATAGCTCGGATTTGCATAGAAATCATCCTGCCCTCCTGCACGGACTCGCTGAATCCCGTGCTGTTGCAGGAACTCTTTGATTTCATCCCTCTTTTCTTTCCTCAGCCAAGCAAGCAAAACCTCTTCACCCCCGCGCTCAAAGGCATCACCTTTCCAATCACTAGTTCATCTGGAAGATGATCCAAGCCCCCACGGTTCCCTGCCCATCTAAGTCTTGCACCTAGTGCTGGACACAACTCCAACACTTGGATTTGCTTGAGAAACCGGAAAACATATTCACCAAAAGGGGCTCTCTCTCTCTATATGGAAGAACACATACAATCGCCTGATCCGCAAAACCCGGAAAAATCGCTGTCGACCGTCATCCAAGTATCTCGTTGTTGTGCTCCACCGTGAGAACACCCAGCTCGATGTTCTCCAACCTGGTGGGACACCAAGCATCACGAGAACAAGAAAACAAAAGAAGCCGACAAATAGAAACAATCCACCAACCAGCCAACCAACCAACTAACCTGCCAACCAACCAAACAAACAAACACAACCCAACGCAAACACTACCCAAACAAACACACAAACAAACAAACAAACAAACAAACAAACAAGGCGTTGACGAATTCCCGGGCTCCTAACATATATCAATGACCCAAAACATGTGGCAAAATCATGGTAGATTGGTGTTTTCTCACCACAAAAGTCGGCTTTCCACAACTCTCTTGGTACTGAAACCTGCACCCAGGCAAACAAATCTGCTGCATCTTTGGGGAGTTTACACCGTTTTTTTTGAGCTGCTGGCTCAATATTCAATACCCCAAAGACAACTTTGGGCAAACCTCGATATACACCACCACTTCGGAATCGAGCCAAGAGTCTTGAGGAGGCATTTTTCGGATGAGGACTTCCGTTGAAAAAAAAAGACCCACCCAAAAGGCTGGCAGATCATGTGCAGTGGGTTCACCTGGCTAGGAGCAACAAGTATCTATAGACTTGAGAGAGGAGGGGTGAACGAAAGGTAGCAGGCAATCACAAGTAACCCTGGTAGAAGTCCATGACGGCGTCAAAGGTGGACGGATGTGACCCGGCGCAGGCGGGGAATGACCATCGAACAGAATCATTCTTTACAGGACCAAGTTCAATGCACAATCACCAACTCCAGATTGTAATACATTTTTGCTAAAGCAAGGAGAACTCAGGTAGCTCAAGCTACCTTTCGTGACATGTGGACATTGTACAAATGGAGTATGGCCCAGTATGGCCAAATGGGAGAGATATGTGGACATGGTACACTTGGCTTACAGGAAGTCTGAAACATCCATTGGTGGCGCAAGTAAGCCACCTCTAGACCCTTTGGCTCCAAAACCGCAGCTGGGTTGGCAGTTCCATGGTGCCTCTTCAAGATGGAACAACGGTTTCATCTCTCTAATTCTTCCAGGACACCCTGAGCCCTTCAAGATCTGAAGCTCGCTTCCCTCCGTATCCAAGCTCCAATAGTCCACCACCGACTGGTTCAACGCACCTAAGACGTGGTCCAACGGAAAGGCGTTCACTCCTCAGGTGCTGCGAACAACGCGCCGGGGGACCGGCTGTGGGGCGGCTGGCGGCTGGCACGGCAGCGTTCAATCCAATTGAAGCCTTGTCCGGTTGACAGGGTGAACTGATGTCTATCAGGTCTGACCTGTGACACAGCTAGACCTACTCTCCACGAAAACATACATCTTGAAGAAGCAGTTCCAAAGCAAAGTATACCAGGGCCCGGCCCCCGGTTTGGGGCGGTAACCTTTAAGGAGCTATAATCAAACACCCCTTAGGGGGCCCTGGTATATGCCTTTTCAACTTCTTGGCTTCCACGTATCAGTGGAGTGTAGCTCGGTGAGCTGAAGGACAGCTAGGCAGTAAATTAGCAAGCCCTTACTTTCAACCACCAAAAAAGGATATGAAGCAATCTACTCTTTGTGTGCATGATATATAAACCTAGAACCTGATTGACCCCTGTTTTGGAGCCAAAACATAGTCTTTTCCTATCAAAACAGAGGTCAAATGGGGTATATATGTATATATATATATCTCTCTCTGCATGAGGGGTTCCACGGCACGACCAAAGAGTCGACCAGTCGACGTCGTCGCAAGAGCTATATATGATACCGTATATAACCAGAACCCTCTGAGGGGTGCCCAATGGAAGCCTATAGGTAGTGTGGGGTAGTTCATTGGACACCCCTTGGAGGGTCCTGGTATAGATATGTGTGTGTGTCACCCCTGTACCTAAGGGTTTCGATGTTTCCAAGCAGGGGGCCGGAGCCAGGTGGGGGGTCTCCGGCCAATGAAGACGCCCCCCACCCGGGTGAAAACGTACCTGCGCTTTTCCAATGTAATTTTTAACATTCTCTTACCTATAGTTAATAAACCTTATTTGGTGCCCTCAGGGCTGACCCTAAACCCTCAAGCTTCTTGGGTTTAGGGTGAAGCTACTTGGGTTTAGGGTCTAGCTTCTGGGAAGCTTCTTGCGTTTAGGGTCAAGCTTCTTTAGCTTACAGGTTTTAGGCCTCAAAGGGGCCTGGGCCACGATT